TTTCTCGCGTAATTTCATAGTGTACTTACATAGCATATACTGTGTTTGGTACTAGAACTCGCCGGCGAAATTGCGACTACTTATAAAAATAAGCAAATTACACTTGTACACTCGGAAGAAAGCTTGCTTAACTCAAGGTTCCCGAAAAAACTGAGGGACACATTGGCCAATCAACTAAGAGATTTAAACGTGAAGCTAGTATTAGGAGAAAGGATCGATCTTACCAGTATTGGTGACGGATTAACTCCACTCACATTGAAAACAAGCAAAAAAAACGATAATTGAATCTGATATACAATTTGTGGTCACCGGTGCTAAACCCAATACCGAAATTATAAAATCATTTGATGCCTCCCTTCTCGAACCTCATACAAATTTGGTCAGAGTTAAACCCACACTTCAATTAGATAAAGATATTTATGATAATATATTTGCCGTAGGTGATGTTACCAATGTTCAAGAGTCTAAAATGGCTTTTCGAGCAGGCCTGCATGGTCAGGTAGTAGTGAAGAATGTGTTGGCAAAAATAAACAATAAGAAAATGAATAATTACAACCCTATGGGAGAGACAGCCTTTATTCCTATTGGAAAGGTAATTATTAGAATATCACATGATTATGTTAAATTTCTGTTTCAATATTTAATCTTTTTTTATCTATGAACAGAATAAAGGTGCAGGTCTTTTACCGATGTTTGGCGGCAAAGTTGTGGGAAGCTTCATGGTTAAAAAAATCAAGGGTAAAAACCTGCTTGTTGACCAAACTTGGAAATCTTTGAATGCCAAACGAGAAGATTAATAGATATGGAATGGTGTATTCCTAATGTCTAGTGAATTTTTATTTTATTTGACATTCGTGCATATTAAACGAGCTATTATTTTTTGCCTTTGTCTTATTTAAAACCATATTTTACATTTTCCTTTGAATTATGTTATCTGTAGATTATATTATCTGTAACTTTACACATGTTTTCTCTCTAATAAATTATTTAGTCTAGAGCATAGCGAAGGGCGAAAATCTGGATCTACCTGGATTTAATTAAATCCGGACCTCCCATGATAAAATTTTGCCTAGCGCTAGATAATCCTACCTGAATTTAATTAATTATTAGTAGTTGAGTTTAATTAATTTCTGTTGAAATTACACAATTCTGGTCAAGCTTAAGTGATGGTAATCCGATTTATTTAATCTTGGTCAAATTTATCAATTTTAATCAAATTTAATTTCAATCATTGGTTAGTTTCAATCAAATTTAATTATATACATTTTTTGTTTCAGATTTAGATTAATTAGTATAATAAATAAAATAGATATAACCATTATTTTTTGATAAAATATGATTGTTTCAAAAATTTAAGTTCACTTATTATATTTTTATTATAAATTTCAACTTTATTAATTTTTAAATCTTTAATTATACAATTAAAAATTAAAATTTTATATATTATATTTTAATACATGTTGTTTCTCATATTTTTTTAAAAATAAAAATTTAATAAAAAAATTTTTTTTAATAATAATAAAACTTTAAGTTAATATTAAGACATTATATAGTTATTTTTAAAAATTTAAGTTTACTTATTATATTTTTATTATAAATTTTAACTATATCAATTTTTAAATTCTTAATTATTAAAAATTATACAGTAAAATTTATATATATTATATCTTAATATTGATTTTATTTATTATATTTTTTAAAAAAATTTTTTATATAATTTTTTTATAAAATTTTTACTTTAAATAATTTTAATTAATTGTTATCATAAATTATGATAAAAAAATAAAAATATTTAACAATAATAAAACTTTAAAAATTATTTATATAAATTTTTTCAAAAAATATATAAAATAAAATAAATATTAAAATATAATATATATAAATTTTATAATTTTTGATTGTATAATTAAAGATTTAAAAATTGTTAAAGTTGAAATTTATAATAAAAATATAATAAGTAGACTCAAATTTTGGAAAGTAATTATTGTATATATTGTATATAAATTTTATAAACTTTTGATTATATATTATAATTAAAAATTTAAAAATTGATAAAATAAAAATTTATAATAAATATATTAAAACTTTTGAAAATAACTATAAGTTATTTTATTTATTTATTTTTTTTAAAAAAAAATTATTTATATTATCTAAAAATTTATAGATTAATAAATAGTATAAAAAATAAACTATCTATTTATTACTTAATAAGAATAAAACATTTTTTTTTTTTAAAATGCTGACTCAGCCTTACTTTATTTGGATTAAGTAGAAATGTACATATAATTTATGCTATAACTACCTATATTAACCAAATTAGTTCAATAGAGAAACTCACCTCGCAGCCTGTTGCCATCCTAATGGGAGCTAACCAGTCAAGGCTGGGCTAGTGCTATATAAAATAGTAAAAATGTGGGAGGAGTGTGTAATGTTTTTTATGTATTTTTCTATATAATTGTTTATCAGGTTTATATATTGACCTTTTATGTGTTCTTCAAATGTATTGAGCTATGTACTTTTCTGTGGTATGCTGTATCTAGATGTTCTTTCAATTTTTCGTATAATACCTTGCAGTTTTTTCCATTTCTGAAATTCCTCACATCATTGAATCCAGATATTGTATAGATATTCGCTAGTCTCTTGTCTAATTTCTTTTATGCATTTATATATTTGTTGTTTGTTCAGAATACATCTGGCTACTAGATTGTATGTCTCTTTGAGTATAGCTCCTTTAATAGTGCATTTGAGGTATTCAGTGTACTTCAAGGAATTGTTTCTTAGTTAATTGTTGATTTGTGCTTTTGTGTCTTTTATCCCACTATATTGTCTAATTTTGATAATGATTGCGTTTCTTAGTTGCTCTTCTGTTCTCTGTCGATGGTTCTGACATATGAAAGGATGTGTGTTTGTCTCTTTGAATCTACAAAATATGTATTTGTCGTCTTTGTACAAGTTTGAAAGTCTCTGATAAAGTTTTGTTTTTGTTAGAAGTTCTTCATTCCATAGGCATAAATTGAATCTTCTTTGTTGTTGGTCTGTTCAGTTGGTGTGTTGTTCACTCATTCTAGTTGGTTGTAGATTGGTCAAAGTTGTATCCCAATGTATGTGTTTAATGATCCAATCACTGAATTCGATTCTTGTTCTATTCAGAAGTCTCTATCTGGCTAGGTGTGTTGCCTTGATCAGTTTTTTGGCCATAGTTTTAATGGGGACTTCGAGTGTGTTGTTGTCCCATTGAGGTAATAGCGTGAATTGTGAGTTTTTTATGGGGTAGATACTAATTGTTTTGTGTCTTGGTGTCATACCCTGGTGCGTATCTATTTTGGCTAGTTTGTCTGCTTGTTTATTGTATTTGTTGCCTGAATAAGCCTTGACTTTAAAGAGGTTAATCTTCAAATGGTTACCAGTAACTATATCTTTGAGAGGTCGGAGAATCCCCAAGTTTTTTTTGTTTTCGCAAGTTGTATATGTGGTTTTTTCTCATTATTTTTTGAATACTAT